GGTCCCATTTTTGGAGGTGCAAAACCCCCAAAAAATCTCACTGGGGCATGGCTGGGTTAATTCAGGGCTCGGCTCAGGCTCAGCACAGGGGGATGAGCAGCTCCAAGGAGCAGCAGCAGCAGGGAGGAGCAGCCAGGGGGGGACACACAGGGAGCAGTGCAGAGGGAGGAAACTCACGGATACTCCTGACGGAGGCCCGGGACGGCTTGTCCGACCGGAAAGAGGTGGAAGCTGCTTCCAAACAAAAGAGAGACATGCTTAAACCACGGGAGACAGGGACAGGCAGGGCCCACAGGGGTCTGTCAGCAGCTACAGCAGGGCCCCCATGCTGTTAGGAACCCGCCAGGATCAGGGAGGGAGGGAGGGATGCAGCGGGAGGGAAGACAAGGAGGGAGGGAGGAATGGAGGCTTCGTTTTCCTGTCTGGCACTGACAGCGAGAGGCCCAGGCTGGAGACCCCTCTGGCACATCCCCAAAGCCAACACAGCAAAGGCTCCTGGGTCCCAGGAGAAAAGAGCCCCATCTGGAGGCATTCCTGACGTTTTCCAGAGCCACAGGCTCATGCAGGAGCCTCCAGCACAGCAGGAACATCCTGTGCAGGCAGAGCAGCTGCCCCCCTTCCCTGGGAGGCTGCTCCAGAGGCACCAGGGAACACCTGGGACAAGGTTACCTGAGGCTTTGGGGGTGGGGTTGCAGGAGAAGCCCCCGTTGGACTGGTCAGGCTCCCTGAAGTCGTAGGTCTCCCTGGGCTTGGGTTTGTATTCCCTCTTGGGACGGGAGGAGGCCTCCCTCATCCTGGCACGGGGAAAGGAAACGAGGCTCAGTGCAACGAGGAGTGGAACAACACGGTGTTTATCCTCCTGGGGGCTGCACAGGGCAGGAAGGGGTTTGGAGACTGGGATTTGCACAAGCCCCTGTGCTGGAGCCTTTGGAAGGTGGGATTTCCTCAGGGTTTGGGATCTGCCCTTCGACAGGGCTCACACATGCCGGGTTTTGCTGGGGAATGCTCAGGAATTCAGGCCAGCAGAGGACACTCGTGCTGTAGTTTGGAAGCTCAGACTTGGCAGGGTCCTCCCAGCTCCTCCCAACTCAGAGCAGGCACGGGATCCACTCTGCAGCTTCTCCCAGGAGGGAACAGCAGCACTGCCAGAACCTCCCCAGAGTGGGGAGGCAGAGGAAGGAGAGGTGGGACTGAGCCTTCCTCAGCCAGGATTTGGGCTGGATCAAACACCCAACTAAATCCAAACCCCACCTGGAACAGCCAAAGGAATTGGCTTTATCAAGGCCAGCTTGGACAGGGCTCAGGGCCACCAGGGGCAGTGAAGGTGTCCCTGCTCTGTGAGCCCCAAGGTCCCTTCCCACCCATCCCTTGTGGCACTCTGTGATTCCAGGGGCACTCAGGGCATCCCACAGGGACTCACCTGCGCTTGAGCTTCTCGGCCAGCTCGTCCAGGATCTGCACGGCCTGCCTGTGGTAATCCAGCTGGGCATCCACCAGGGCTGACAGCTGGCTCACCTGCTCGATCTGAGCAACAGCAGGCTGGCATCAGCACCTGCCCACAGCTGCACAATCCTGCACTGCCCTGGGGCAGCTCTGGGATTGCCAGGACAGAGCCCATTCCTGCCATTCTGGCTTTGCCAGCTGGGAAATCCCTCCCAAAGCCTTCCCAGCTGGGTTACCTCCCTAAATGATCCCCCACCACCCCGAGAGGAGCCTGTTTGGTGCCAGGCAGAGCTGGGTCAGGGGTTGAGCAAAGCTCTGTGCTGTCAGCTCTGGGCTTTCCCAGAGCAGAACCACACTCAGGAGAAGTGGAAACTGGTGTGCAATCAGTGCCTCCCTCAGGAGATGCCACCCCAGGGACACAGAAGGGCCCAGCTGTGCCCTCCCACACTCACATCTGTCTCCAGGAGGTTGTGCATGCTGGTCTCTGCCACTTCCTTGGACTCCTCAAACTTCTCCATGGCCTGGCGCAGCTCCTCATCGGGGATCTTGCCCTGCCGCTTCTTCTTGTAGTCGAAGTCCAGGCGCCTCCCCTCCAGCTTCTTGAGGTGGTGCTGAGGGAGGATGGAGAGAGCAGGGAAGAGGGAGAAGCCAGAGGCTTGGGAGGGCAGCTCCAGTTACAGGCTGAGTTCACTGGTGTCAGAAACCTGATCTCCTGTGGCTCCCACCTTTGCTCCAGGTGGGACAGAGGCCCTGGGGTGTGATGGGGGAATGATTCCAGATCCTTTCCATTGAGGAATGATTCCAGACCCTTTCCATTCCAGGTCTGCTCCCTGTAGAAGCTTTTTGGGAAGGTGAAGAGCTCTGCTGCTCCTTTCAGCTCCCCAGGAGCTGCAGGGATCTCTGGACAGCAGGAATGGGGGTTTTGGGCACTGCACTCCTGGATCTTAGGGCAGGGATGTTTAAAGCAGCCCCATGGAACTGGGTACAGACAGGCACTGAGGTAACTTGGTGGTTATTTCAGCCAGGACAGCAGTGACAGTGAACACTCCCTCAGGAATTGGAGGTTGGGATGGATCCTGTTACAGGGCCTGCACTTTTCTGTGTGCAGCACTGGGAGCTGCTGAGCTCCCTGTTCTCCCAGTGAGACCCCAGAGAGCTCCTTGGGATGCTGAGTAGATTCCTGAGGGGAGCTTGCTCAGAGCTTGGAGCCCAAATTGATCCCATCTGGAAGCTCCCAGCACTAAGAGCCAAATTCAGCAAGCCCAGAAGGGTGTTGGGATGTATTCCCATGGCACCATCAAACATGGCAGATGGGGAACCATTGCAAGCTGCATGCAGCCTTTTGGGCTGCTCAGGAGCAGCAGGGAGGAAACACCAGAGAGCCTGGAGGGATAAAACACACACAGAGTGCAGACAATTCCTGGCAGCCCCTGCTCCCAGCACTGCAGAGCAGCAGCTCCGTGCCCCAACAGCCAAAGAGAGAGCAGGGAGATGAGAGCAGAGCAAAGCACAGGGGGGTTACCTGGATCTCCTTCAGGTCCTTGTCACACAGGTTCTGCAGGGGATCAATGAAGTTCTGTTTGACCTCGATGTCCAGCGAGTCCTTCACCTCCGCCAGGCGCTTCATGGATTCGCCGGCGTCCAGGAGCGCGTCCCCTGCAGGGACAGGGACAGGTGTGGGATCTCAGCACCTCAGGACTGAGGTGCCACCGAGACCACCCTTGGGGGGCTCGGGAGTCCTGGAATGTTCCAGAAGTGTCGGGTGGCTGGACTTTGATCCTACACAGGAGACGACACCTTTATGAGGACAGGAGGATTTCACCGGGGTGAATGGTGAAGGGATTGGTTAATTAGAGGGTGAGACACAGGGTTTAGGATTTCTGTACAGGGGGGTTTAGAGAAGTAAGATGGAGGAATTGGGGCGTGTCCTGTCCTTCTTCTTCTTCTTCTTCTCCTCCATCTTCTGTGGTGATGGTGGCACTTTGGGATTGGTCATTACTAAAAGTGCACCGGATAATAAGGGGGAAAGGTATTGGGGAAAAATGATAAATATTGTACACGTAACTATGGGTATAAAGATAGGTGACTGTCTGGAGGGGGGGACGTGTGCTCATGGCTGGCTGCTGAGCAGAGCTCTGTCGGGCCGAAAGAAAATCTTTTAGATAAACAATTAATAAACACAGAGACCGAAAGAAGAACTGAAGCCTCTTCTCGTCCTTCGATACGTGGGCTGTCCCAAGGCCACTCCGGGCCTTTCCAGGCCCTCCAAACAGCTGAAAACCGGACAGACAGGGACAGGGGATCAAACACAGCCCAGCCCAGGGACCTGCCTCACATCCCCTCCTTCCCCCTTCTAGTGTGTCCCACAGTCCTGGCGTGGTTTGGCTTGGAAGGACCCTAAAGCCCATCCAGTGCCACCTTCAGCCGTCCCAGTTTGCTCCAAGCTGGCCTGGGGCAGCCCCAGAGCTCAGTGTCACTCACTGAAACCTGTTCAGTTCCATCCTTTCCTAAGGCTCTGGCCACTCTGGCACTTCAGCCAGGCAGGCTTGCAGCAAAGCATGTTCAGTGCTGGCTTTTTAGTGCAGAGGAAACACTTAGAGATGAAATGATTCCTGTGCAGCTTTGGCAAAACAACAATTGCAGCAGAGCATGAACACAGGAAAATACATGAGTGAGAGAGAGGGTCAAGGGAAAACATCTCTCCACTGTCCAGCTGGAAAAATCAATAGCCCAGAAGTGTTCTTTCAATTGTAATAACTCTGAATAAGCTGGAAGGGAGGGATGGAGTCCTCAGTGCTGCTTTAAGGAGGCCATTAAGGAAATAGAGTTTGCTGTGCTCTCCTAAAAGCTTCCTTCCCTTGCTGTCCTCAGTCCCTGTGAGCCAGAACTGCTGCAGAGCTCTGAGCTGGCCAGGGAGGATCTCCAAAATCCTCTGTCAGTTCCAAAAGCAGCCAGAGGTTTTTAATTTTCCTGAGGCAAGGCAGCTCCTCCCTGGCCTGGCAGGGCCAGCTGTGCTGCCAGGGGGCCATCACGTGCCTGGCCCAGGTTCCAGGGGATTAAAACTGATGTCACCAAAAGGCTTCACCCCCTCCTCCCTGCCAGCCACACGTGGCTCCAAGGAGCAGCCAGAAGATTTCTTGGCTTCAGCCTCCCCATGGAATCACAGCAAGGTTTGGGTTGGAAGGGATCCTTCAGAGCTGTGTGAAACTCCCAGTCTTGCTCTGTCCCGTTCCTGCTTCGCTGCTCAGTTCAGAGGGAAGTTTTTATTTTATACAAATTTATCTCAGTGTTTAATAAAGAAAGTGGATTGAGATCCAGGATATTTGGGATCACAGAATGGTTTGGGATGGAATGGAAGGAGCTTAAAGCCCATCCAGTCCCAACTTTCACTATACAAGGTTGCTCCAGCCTGGCCTTGGGCATTTCCAGGGATCCAGGGGCAGCTGCAGCTGCTCTGGGTACCTTGTGCCAGGGCCTCACTCTCCCCACAGGCAGGAATTTTTTCCAATATCCCATCTAAACCTCCCCTCTTTCCCTTGCAATCTGCTCACTCTGGAAGTTTCTGAACCCCTTTCCAGCCCCACGCACAGATCAGTGCCACAAAGTTCACCCAAACCCTTCCAGAATTCAGAGTGCCGGCTCAGCAGTGAACCAGCAGCCTGCCCCACTCCCCTCCCAGGCCCAGGAGCACTCACCAAAGTTGGAATCCTCTCCCAGCTCCTTCCCATAGCGGATCATGCACTCCCCCAGCAGCCCCTCGGACTGGGGGTAGCCGGGGTTCTTCACCTGCCCGCGGATCTTGGACATGGTGTTGAGCATGGTGAGCTTGGCTCTGGAAGCTGCCACAAAAAACACCTCAGCCTCTGCCCCCTCTGCATCCCCTGCAGCCCTCAGCAGGTTTCTGCTACACCCAAAGCCAAGAGGCTCCATTGTCTCCATCCCCCAGGAATATCTCTCATTCTTTTCCGAGACACAAAGCAAAAATAGTTCCCCACTGCTTGGTTAGGGAAAGCCAAAGGAGTTTCCCCAGCCCTTCCAGGTCCCTGGAGTGCTCTCTGGAGCAGCTGGCTGGAAGGATGCAGGGCTGACAGGGCCAGCCATCCCTTCCCATCCTTTTTTCCCTCCACCACTTTTCCTGGACATTCTGAGACAAACGGGTCCCCTTAGGGCCTCTCTGAGTCTGAGGCAAAAGCTGCACCTGGATTCAGGGCAAGAGGGGTACCCAGATCTCCCCCTGCTCCAAACCTGGAGCAAAAGGGATCTCCCTGATCCCCTTGGGAAGGGGACAGGGCAGGTGCAGGCCCTCACCTGGGTTGGGCTGGAGGTACTCTATGGTTCTGGTCAGGACTTCTGTGACAGCCTTGCTGGTCACGTCCACTTTCTGCAGGAGAGACGGGAGCCCAGTGAGGGTCAGCTCAGGGATTCAGCCAATCCCACAGGAGCCATGGGGTGATTTTGGGGATTCCTCTGCTTCCCCACTCACCTTTTCCATCTCCTTGAAGTCATCATCTAACTTGGTCCCTTCGGCCCCTCCGACCTTCTCGCTGACCAGCTGTGGGAAAGGAAAGGGAGGAGATCAGGCACTGATTGACCCTTCCCAAATCAAAGAGGAATTGCTTGGGACAGAATGGGAACAGGGAGGGTCCACACAGCACCTGCAAGAGAAAGGAGGCAGCAGGAACACCCCAAGCCCCTCAAAAATACCCCACCAAACCCCCAAAGATCCCCGAGCGCCCAAAGCTTGGCTCAGCCAGGATGTTCCTCACCCACCAGGAGCTCCACAGCTCCCTAAATCCCAGCCCACGGCTCCAACTCCAACGCCTGCTGGAAAAAAACAAGCAGCACAAACGTCTCTCAGCTCCATTTGGAGCCAAGGAACTCAGTTTCACACACAGCAAAATCCAAGTAAACAGGGAATGAACACACTCAGCTCCCAGCAGGCAGCACAGCAGAGCCTGGGGGGAGAGCACAGCCACCACTCTGAACTGCTGGAGCAGCTCAGCATCCGGGACAGGGGCTGGAATTGTCAGAGGAGATGTCTGACAGGCTGGGAAGTCAGGGCTCATTTCATGGGAAGGCTCAGCAGCCTCCTGAGGGGATCCCTCAGCCCAAGAACAGCCCCAGCCCCTGACCCGCAGCGTTCCCTGCCCAGGGGTGACCAATGCCCCCAAAACCCCCCCAAAGTGTCCTTCTGTCCATCCCCTGCAGCCCAGGCAGGGCAATGTTCCCCTCCCAGCCCCTGCACTGCCTGGGGAGGCAGGACACGGGAATTGGCGACAACTGGAACCGTGGAATGGCTGAGGTTGATCACTGAGCCTGACCACGCTCACCCGTAACCCACGTCCCCAAGTGCCACATCTGTGTGATTTCTGGGCACCTCCAGGGATGGGCACTCCAGCACTGCTCTGGGCAGCTGTGCCAATGCCAGGCCACCCTTTCCATGAACAAATTCCCCCTGATTTCCAACCTAAACCTTCCCTGGTGCAATGTGAGGCCGTTTCCTCCTGTCCTGCTGTACCCTGGGAGCAGAGCCCGACCCCACCTGGCTCCACCCTCCTGCCAGGGAGCTGTGGGGAGCAATTTGTGATTACTTTGCTCCAAACAGCAGCAAATTCCCCATGCAGACACCCAAAGTGCTCTGGGAAACCTGGCACTGGCTGCCAGGGCTCCAGGCCTGCCCCGGGGCATTGCCAGGATTCCTCCTGTTTGTGCTGAAAACTCCAGATCTGAAGGAACAATCGCGTTTGTTTACTCCAACATCAAATATTTGATTTTTATCGAGGCTTTCTTCCTCTGGAACACTCCTGCTCCCGTGAGGATACAAAATGGGGCTGGATGTTTTCTGAGGAAGAGGGGGAGGGATAATTTAGGGAATTATTCAGGTTCAGAAGCACCTGGAGACACCAAGGGAAGGGAAGGGAAGGGAAGGGAAGGGAAGGGAAGGGAAGGGAAGGGA